GCCTTGACACTGTCCTCTTCTCTGTCCATTAGGGAAAACTTATTATTAGGTGCTGAGCTACAAGTATGATCGCTCAGTAGGAGATTGAGATCTGGGCCTTGCTAATACATTCCTCTAGAATGGAAGCTTCTTAGTCAGATTTAAACCCCTGCTTTGAGGGTAAGAGTATCCCCAGAAAATATGAATATGATGTGCAGCTGAGGAACATTGGAGGAATATCTCTTTGGAATATGAACTGCTGTACATTGGTCTGTGTGAGCAGTGAGGCTTCTGAAGAATTTTGAAATAGAAGAGTACGGTGCTGTTAGTCTTTTGTTTAGTCTTTTGTTGCTCTTTCCCAAAACAGTATAGTCTTAGGCCTGGTATACACACAGGTTTTGTACCACTATAACTGTGTCAGTTAGGGATGTGATTTTTTTTTTTAAACCAAAATAGCTATACTGGTACAACCCCTTGTGTGGACGCAATTATAACAGTCTAAAGATGCCTTATACAAGTATAGCTTATCTATCCGTCTGACTCAGAGGTGGGCAAACTATGGCCCGTGGGACCCTCCTGCCCAGCCCCTGAGCTCCTGGCCCAGTAGGCTCGCCACTGGCCCCTCCCCTGCTGTCCCCCTTCCCGTGCAGCCTCCACTCACTGCACCGCCGGCACAGTGCTCTGGGCCGTGGGGCTGCGAGCTCCTGGGGCAGCGCCATTGCAGGGCCCGGCCTGACCCGGTGCTCTGTGCTGCGCGGCGGTGCAGCCAGCCACCGGTGCTCCAGGCAACACGGTAAGGGGCAGGGAACAGGGGGGTGTTGGACAGAGGGCAGGGGAGTTCAGGGTGGTGGTCAGAGGGCGGGGGTGTGGATAGGGGGCAGGGCAGTCAGAGGGTGGGGAACAGGGGGGTTGAATGGGGGTAAGGGTCCTGGGGGGCCAGTCGGGGGGGGGTGGATGGGGCACCGGGGGCAGACAGGGAGAAGGGGTGGTTGGATGGGGTAGGGGTCCCTGGGGGTGGGGTGTCAGGGGGTGAGAAGTGCGGGGGGGGGTCCTGGGTCACGCCTGGCTGTTTGGGGAGGCACAGCCTGCCGTCCATACCATTTCTGAAACTCGATGTGGCCCTCAGGCCAAAAAGTTTGCCCGCCCCTGGTCTAATTGCATCCGCATTCAGTAGGTTGCAGTGCTTTAATTATACCAATGTCGTTAAAGTGATGCTACTTTCATGTGTAGACAAGGCCTTGCATTTAAGTTGTACGGTGGTGCTTACATGCTGAAGACTTTCAGACTCCACAGTAAAAGAGTGAAGTCTTTAGCACCAAGGAAGAATTCCTCATACCATAGAGTTGTAAAATCACAGCGTGTTGCTCAGCTCCTGAATGAAGAAGGAGGGGTGCCCAGGTATTTCCTGATGAGCTTAATAAAAGAACTAGAGAATGGAATAGAATAGAGGGAGCACACCTCACATTGCTAGTCAGTGATCACCTTCTCCCCATGCTCTGTAGCAGCTGCTCAGAGTGGCGTTGTGGCATATTCTGGAGCAACTTGCACTCAGCCCACAGGAAGCGGGACAGGTGCTGGTATGTAGGGCCCAAAGGTGAAGGCACTGAAATGAATGGGGGGAAAATCCCCAGCCAAAAGAAAAAAGTTGCCATTATAAATGGCACACCGTTTCTGAAATAGCTTTAGACCAGGTCATGCCCATGGACGAATACCTGTAGCTGCTTCTTGCGGAGTATCCTCTGCATTCTTTTACTGGGGAGAGAGAGATTGCCCCTCCATGAGGAAAGAGGTCTGGCTCCTAAATCCCATGAATCCCCTGAGGTACATTGTGTCTCTGGTGTTGCCCAGGCCCTCCTGACTGGTACCTCTTCTCTGGATCTTCCTCAAAGGAGAAATCCCCAGCAGAGGCAGCTCATGAAAAAGTAACACACCCGTTGGCTGTACGACTATTCCTTTAAAATCTGAGTGGGACTAGTGAGGGGGAATGCTTTTGCTGCTGTAGCTTATACCAGTTCTCCGAACAAAATAAGCAATACTGGTAAAAGGACTTTATTACTGGTATAACTGCTTCTATCCTAGGTCTTTTGCTGGCATAGCTATGTTGGTTAGGGGGCTGATTTTTTTTTCATACACCTAATGTAGCTACGTTAGGAAAACATTTAGGTATAGACTAGGCTTCCTTTTTATAAGAGGAAATGGAAAGTTCAGAAGAGTTCATACACGCTGTCTCCAGTGTAGCCTGTTATCTGCCTGCCTTGTGAATGAATTCAGAACCACCAGATCAGTCCCAAGCCAATGAATATGCATGCATCTCTTGTGCGTCCTGTGTTCTGAGAAACACAGTAATGACCTGTTCTAAATGCCACTAGGTGGCACTTTAAGGACATGACAGCCAGTGGTTTGTATTCATTTTACATCAGCTCCTGTACCAGAACTGATTCCTTTCTTTTATAAAATCTGTGTATTTAACCATCTGACCTCTCTAGTTAGTCGTGCCCAGTTATATTGTCAGATCCGCATTCCACACTGGGGTATGATCGTCATGATCACAAATGAATAGGCAGGGCAGTACCAACACCGATGGCTTTTGACAGCAGCGAATAGTACAATAGAAATGTAGCCTTGCAATCACTGAAGCTGTTGTTTTAATGGGTGCCCTATGCCCAAGGCACTCAAATAGCCAATAAACATAAAAAATGCTGTGGCATCAGATTGGCAGGACATCCTGAAATCTTATCCTTTAGTATTGGCATCAACACTTGATTTGATATCTGCATCTGATGGTGTCCAAGCCTGGTACTTTTTTCTTTCCTTTTACAAATTTTATTTTAAGTAACATTGTTCTGCTGTGAGGTCTTTCTTTTTGATCAGTTTAGTTGTAGGTTGCGATGCTCAAAGGAAGTCTAACTCTGCTCCCATTATTAACTTCAGTGAGACTTCATTGGGAGCTGAGCACTTTTGCAGATTCCCAACCTGTGTGTGTGTGTGTGTGTTCGTATTTGAAGGCAGTCAGTGGCAGGGGGATGAGGAGAATAAAGCTCTGTAGCTTTGCAACTGAAGTATGATCCTTTTTGTACCTGCCAAAATCTAATCGGTAGACAGAGCCAAATGGTGCTTCTCTGGTTATCTCTTCCTTCCATCTCAAACAATCCTCCGAGCATCTTTTACTCTGTTTTCCTGCTTCCTTTCTCACTCAGTTACATGTGGTCCCCTTCTGTACATTTCTTCTGAGCAGGAGGACATACCACATAGTTCCCTCTGGGGCCATCATCATTGGTTTTTCTCTGTGAATCAACCCTTTATCAAAGGAATGTGGGTGAGGGCGGAGATTTTCATTTCACCAGTGTCCAAATTCATTGTTTCCGTGATGCATTTGAGCTCTGCTGTCCCAAGATCATTCATTAGAATTTATATGCCTGAAGTGCCTGCCCGATATGCTGTTGCCAAGCCACTGAAGTCTGTGTTTTGGTTCTGAATTTCTTTCAGTTACATAAGAAATGGTTCTGGAAAGTAAGGAATCGATTGTTTGTTTCACTGGATAACAAAGAGACATGTTGTATTAAAAAAATAATTAAATCGTTGATTTTAGTGATTCAGCAAAGAGTGGCCTTTCCCCCTTTCATTCCTCTGTATGTCAGGAGCCTTCAGTTATAATCTCAGCCTAGCAATACCTGGAAGGTTTTCTGAGTCAAAATGGTAGTACCAAATATTAGCCCCCTGGCAAATTCTTTTTAGCATTGCTTTGCTGTTCAAATGTACCATACTTGAAGGAGGAAAAGGGAAATCTTGTCAGCCATGGCATTTATTTTACCCTGCTGTCTTGAGGAATTACATATGCATTTAAAGGAAGATCACAAATCCCTCTCCTAGCATTAGTTCTACCCCTTACAGTTGTAAAGCACTAGCAAACCTGACAGAGCTTCCATCGTGCTTCTGTTGTGAAGGGAGTAGAAGTGGTATGATGAAGTCCCTCTTCAAATACTTTATAATCTATATATAATTCTGACATTGTTTGATTTATGGGTTGTGCTGAACCAGAGGCATTGAAGTAACTTTGACTGCACTAGATCGTGATAATGCAGGGACTGTTATTGCTTCCAAAGTCTCTCAGCAAGAGTCTGTCAGCAATAGCAGAATAGGTTATTCCGTGCTTGATAAATTATTGGTATGAGGCTTTAGGTGAAATCCTGGCACCACTGAAGTTAGTGGGAGTTTTGCCATTGACGCCTGAGGAGCCAGGACTTAACCCTTTAAATTTAACCTCACAGAAACTAACTGTTTTGGAGAAGTGAGCATGCTGTAGTACAGTAACCCCCGGTTTTAATTTTTAGAATTTTTAGCCTGATACATTTAAGGACTTTTCTTTGGAAGTGCTTTGACTGTTGCAATTATTTTCTATTTGGAGCTGGATTAGGGCAGGAAGGTGGTAGATTTGTCTCCTTCTATACCTTGTATATAAAGTGACATCATCACAATTTTTGCAGTAGTTCCCATTTTCTTGTTCTAGGCCTTAGCACCCACAGTCAGAGGCTCCCCTGTAAACCCCTCCCTCCCACTGAATATCATTTGATCTCATTATATATTCATATTACTATTCAGTTTTTCAACTGGAGTCTTCAGGATCCAGTGACAGTTTGCACCCCTGACCTTGGTAGTTGTTGCTGTGGCTTTTCTTTTCTCATAATGGAAGAGCTCTGTGTGTTATATTGTAGGAACCAAACCCTAGAAAAGACTCCTGGGTAGCAGGCCATTTATGTTCAGAGAAGTTACCATTTCTAGCTTTTCACAAAAAGTTTTCTCTTGTTTTCTTATTTCTTATCACAATAAAGGGGGGAAATGGTTTAATTAAAAATATACAAAAGACGTGTGTCATTCACTTAGCTGTCACCATAACTTTCCCCCTCAGAGTTAAATTGCTAAAGTAACTTTTCTTTTGTGTCTAGTGTTTGCTTTCATTGTCTTTATTGTACATGATTGCTAGACATTTTCTGGGTGTAGCGGTGACTGATTTGTTGTTACAGACAGAACAAGTATCTGAGATTGAATTACATCCTCAGATGAATAGAGCCCCATCACAGACAGAAGAAAGCAGCCCAACGAGAAAGGTAAGGCCAATATGTCTAATGCTGTTGTTGAATGATCTGCCTTTATCTTTTTGCCTTCATCAACTGACCTTAGTTGTTTTAAGTTTTAAAGCAATTAAACTGAGGTTTAGGATTACATTTTTACATGTTTACTTTTTCTGGAGGTCAGGACACCAGGGGGAATTGGACTCACGTGACATTCACCATCAGCTCAGATAAATCATTAAGAAAGTTTTCAATCCACACGTCAGTACATGTGCATTAAGAAAAAAAACTTGCCATTTGTTTACAGTATAAACACACGGGCCCTTAAAGAAGTGGGGAGAAGAGATCAATGGTGTCTGGTCCTCATTTCCTTCCAGCCCTTCCAACATGAAACATTTTAAAAATCTGATATTAAGGATCCAACATAAGTACACCAGTTTATTAGAGCTCAGGATCTCTTCTATAATATGCATAGAATTTCAGGAATTTGTTTAAAGCATGAATTACAGGTTTTATATGCTTGCAGGCATATAAAATAGATATGCTGTAACTCCAAAGGACCAGCTTATGTCATTTTCCTCCTAGTGCCTTTTGGGGTAATAACCCTTTGTGCCCTTGCTTTGTCTGGATGCCACTTCTGTCCTTTCCGTCTAAGATCAGTAGCAGGGGCAGTTGTTAATTAGCAGTTCGAGACCTAGGATCTCCAATGATACTCCACCAGGTACTAATGCAGCGCAGACATTCCGTAGTGTCTATTTAGTACTGATGTATGGCACAGTGTGGTGCCAGATGCTGCCACAGAGGGGTGTTCTTGAAAGGGACGGACCTGCTCTGCCCATGAGAAAGGGATGTGATGATGCCTGGGTGGAGTTGAGAGTCTGCACAGGTGGCCTGTAGAAGAGTCGGGAGAGTTTGGGTGATGTCTGGTGGGAGAGGGAACTGTTAAAACACCCCCACAGGTGATAAAGTGGGCTTTCTTCTGATTTCCTTCTGTACTCCCTGCCTCTCCCTGCCCAGTGATGTTTCTTCCCCAAATGAGCACCACGACCTGTTTGTTTGGCTGGTAGCTTCTGTGCCATATGCTGCAGCTGCTCCTGCTGTTCAGTCACCCATATGACCGCTAGCCACCAGAGGCAGCTTTGCAGAGAAGAAGCCAGAGAGAGGATAGCTATAGCCAGCCCAGCCCACTATAGAGCTGACCACATGATGCTGGGCACCTGAAACTGGCAGCCTTAAATAGCCACTATCCCCACCCACCCCAGCTTCCTGGAGTGTATGCCCAGGGCACAGGCCTGCAGGAGATCTGCAGCAGTGGCCTGAAGAGCCTCCTCCTCAATACAATGAAAGAGGAGGCAGGAGTATCTATCAGAGTTGTTCTGCAGAACTTCAGCCCTCCTTCACCCCGCAAGGCACAGATGGCGAGAGTTTCGGATGGGAGTAGGGGGGCAGCAGGGCAAAGTGAGCCTCTGGGAACTGTAAGTTTGAGGAGAGCCCAGTGGTTATGGTGCGTTGACTTGTCTGGTTCAGGAACTATTTTATCAATAGAACTTAACTTGTCATTAGGAAGTTTTTTATAACAGAGCATTCCATATAAAAAAGCTGACTTCTAGAGCATAAAACGCTTGTTTTGAAATGTCATCATCTCCTAAAATGCAGGAACTTACAGCTGCTCTTCCAGAATTTACCAGGGAATGAATCTCTTTAATTTTCTTCCTCATTCCCCAACTTTTTTATGGGGTTGGACCCTCTCCCATGTGCATCTTCCTGATGCTTCACTCAGGTTCTCCCACATCCTCTCTCCACACACACACCCTTCCTTTGAACTCCCTTTGGGTGTTGCTTTTTTACTAAGGAAGGGACAAATGTACTGAATAAGGGACTCTGGCACTAACAAATGTATCACTTGCACTGAGCACCAGTGACTACTGCTCAGAAGACAGCTTCCTTTCTCCTAGAACAACCAGCAGTGCTCATCTTTCTCCAAACCAGCACAACAGTTTCCCCAAACTACATGCTGATAGTTTTTAAGTGAAAGCAAATTTATTAGAAAAACACAATAAAGAGAACCAGCAGTTTGAGAGAGACCCCTGAGACTCTTCCCCCTAGTCACTAGGAGGGCAAGAAGCTGAATTACAATTATGGGATGTTGTCTAGGATTCTTAGCTGAAAAGTCCATCTAACTCACACTGATGACAAAGCTAGCATTTTAAGATGTCTTACCCAACTGCGTTTTTAACCAGATGCTAACAACTTCTCTGCCTGGCATCTTCTGGCAGGCTCAGTGTGTCTGTCTTTAACCAACAATCGTCTCATAGGTTAGTTTCCAAGTTCAGTTAGCACTAGTGGTATTGTCTCAGCCCAAAACAAACTACAGGATGTAGAATTGCTTTCAGGTCAGTTTGTGCAACTCAAATTTCTTTTGTTCTCAAAAGGACTGACTTCCCTATCATCCTGCCAAGTAAGGTTCTCTGTGTTTTCTGTTTGTCTGGCTTTAGCAATGTACCAGCCCCTCAAATAGCACTCAGGAAAATGGGGCTTTTTGACCTCCAGGTTTGGCTGTTTTTTGCAATACTAACATAAACAGAGATTGTGTATTTTGCATTTCCCCAGCTCTCACCCATTCAAGCATGTAGAAATCACATACAAGTTCCCTAGTCGTCTCGCATGACATTTTCAGAGAGAGTTATTCAACCTTGCCAAGCGTGAGGCCACAAAGCACAATCTTACCCCAGATCTATAACCATACAATAGTTACACTCTTTCTGCTACCCTATTCAATTAAATAGTAAACATAGATACTATTCAATTATTTAAAAAAAAACAAAGGGGAACCAGAGGACTGAGTTTTGGAAATGAGATTCTGAGCCTTTCTCCTAAAGGTCAGTGGTGGAAATCCAGCTCACTCCAGCAATAGTGACAGACAGGTATTACCATTTGATGGCTGTTCAATGAAGTCCTGGAAATGAACTCTTGGTCTCATTTCACATTCTAGCAGCCTGGTGTCCACATTCATAAAACCAGCATCACTATTGGCAGCCACATAGGAGGCCCAGGACTGAATACGGATAGAGGCTGAACTATCCTCTGCCCCAAGTGGTGGTCCTACCCTTTCTAGATTTGGGCATGCTGATGAGACAGGGTAGGGGAGCTTACATTGCAATGACTCACACTGCAGCCATTCTCTGTGTAAGTGGGGGACTCCGCCACTAAGACTATTAAACCAGCAACTTACATAAGGACCTCATTCACTCACTTTAATTAACAAACACTACATCTCCATTGTGAAAACAAGCAGAACAGTGTATAGTCTGAAAATGTCTGCTGTTTTCAGCAACAAATATCTTGTGAAAATCTGGTACGTAGATGTAATCTCTCTCAGCCTGGGTATACATTTTTTTAAAAAGCAGTAAGCAAATACATTAATTATACTTTGCCATGTGTTTATTTTGAGTGTGGTATTCCACATATTTAACGCAAGTGGCTTTCCATGTTGGGTTGTGTGCAACAGATCTTGGTTTTTTGTTTGTTTGGTTGGTTTTTTTTTTGTTTTTTTTGGGGTTGGTTCTTTTAAATATTTTTAAAGTAGTCATGGAACCCTGTGGGATTTTGGAATGTTAGAGACTCTACCTCCTCATAACGCTAACTCTCTTCCTGGCCTTAAATTACTTTTTATTGCAAAACACCCACAATAGCCCTCTGCTGACTCAGATTACATATTGCAGCCTTTTGGGCACTTCACTGGGTCATTTAAAGGTGTATTACTTTGTTTAATTTATTTATATTGTATTAATTGGTTCCTAAGACATAGAAAGGAAGGTAGCCTGGTCCAGTGAATACACCACTAGATCGTATAATGAAAGCTGGGTTCTAGTCCTGGCTCTGTCACTATTTCACTGTGTAACCTTTGGCAAGTCACTTTACTGTTTTTCGCCTCAGCTTCTTGCTTTGTGAAATGAGGATGATGATACTACTGGCCTCTCTTTGTTAAAGCACTTTGAGATCTACAGATGAAATGTGCTATGAAAGCTAAGCTTTATTATAATAATACATTATTATTATAACAGCCTGATACTGCAGTGGTGGTAAAGTTTTGGGCAAAATAGAGGATATTTTAATTAAAATAATGAAAGCACTTCTGGCATTTTTTATTAAAAAATAATGTATTTTGTGTTTTCTACCTGAGCCTGCCCACGTCTTTTCATGTACTTCTCCATGACAAATCATTAGCCTTACGTGCACTCATTCTGCAATGATAGTTTACATGTACGTCTTTGTAAGCCAGTTTCCGAGCTGCCTCTAAAAGGGAAAGTATTTCTGGGACCGACATCGTAGGATAGAGGAAGCCTGTCTTGTGTTTGAAGCATTTGCCTGGGACACAGGAGATCTGGTTCAATTCCTAGCTGTACCACAGCTTTTCTGTGTGACCTTGGGCAAATCAGTCTCTCTCAGACACTGTACCTCAGCTGTACTGTGAGGTTGGTGGTAGTACCTCTCAGAGGTGTCATGAGGATAAATTCATACGTTTGTGAGGCACTCAGATTCTATGGGAATGAGTTGAGGCCATATAATGGGTAGATACTTTATAATCCTTAACTGGCAATCGATATTGGTCACTCCTGGGAAATGTCCTGTGTTGATCATGATGGCAGCATATGCAGGCAAAATCCTCATATTACACAGAGCATAATTTTTTAATTATATTCCGGTAATGTCCAGAAGCCCCAGTATGCTACATGTACACATATGCATGTACACACGCGTGTATGCCCTGAACAGCATACAGTCCAAATTCAGATAAGACAGAAGTCGTTCATGCAAGACAATTGAAGGGAGGGAGGGCAAGACACACCAACAAAAATAGCCAACCTGCAAATATAGAAAATTAATATTAAAATGACAGAATGCAGTTTTTAAAAAGCAGGTTATTACTGAATTTAATTAAAATTGAAACAGCACAAACCTTAGGCCATACTTCAGCAGTTTGTGTGTCAAAAGCATTCACTCATCATAGTCTTTTCTTTCACCATGTCATCATTGTAGCATGTCTTTGGACGCTGACTTATTTAAGGACTAACTTAATCTTTGTTTTTTTGTCCTCCAAAGGAGATTCTGCTTACTCAGCCACCATCCAAACCAATCCGTAGGAAATTCCGCTCCGAAAATCAGATGTTGGAAAACCAGGAGCTTACTCCCACTAGCAGTGTGACCTCTTCTTTGCCTGCAGCCAAACCCCATCTTCCTGCCCAAAAGTAAAACACACACCTAAAAACTACACCAAGCTGCACCATGAGCTATGACTTGACTGTGTTTGGTTTTTTTGCCTCATTCTCATATTTAATGATTGAATGACTCAGGGCATTGGTAATGAGATACAGACCTCAACTCTTGATTGCCAGTTCAAATGCAGGCCAGGTCATAGTGACCAAAAATTGTTAACATGTGATAGCTGAACAATGGCCTCTTTGAAATGCACTTGATGGTTTCAGTCAACAAATATGTGTCTACATCACAAAAGCTACCACTCAACTACCCCCTGTAACAAGGTGGCAGGGATCTTGTGCTGACCCTGTTAGCAGGTGTTTGAAGCCTGCATAATGCTGCTGAAGTTGTCCTCACTCATTCTGGCAGTTGTGGCTTGTTAACCAACCAGGAGATGAGCATGCGGGGAACGGCTCCAAATCCCTTCAATCTTGTCATCATAATAAGATGACGGTTCTCCACAGCAAGGAACTAAACTTCAATACAGTCTCAGTTACATGTGCATTCACAACACTGAACAACCCTATGGTCAGGTGTTTGCAAATGCTGTGACTGAGGAGAGCAACACTGGTTTCACCACCACTTCAGCCATAGTGTAGGAGTGCCAAAATTCTCTGACACAACTGGTCAGACTAAGCGCTTCTCTTCAGTCCCAAGCATTCTAAGACACCGCCTTTGCTACGACTTAACTTGAGGGTAGAAGGTGTCCAAGTGTCTTCACTGATGTTGAGCAATAGATAGTTGTAACGTTCCACTCCATCAAAGAGAGGCCTAAACACTGAAAAGCAATACTTCCCCCCATCTATTCTGGAACCTCATTGGGTCCAACAGTTTCGGAGCATGAACTGTAGAAACAAGTCGACCAAGCTGACAGGAGTCAAGAAGGGCTTTGCCCTCAGCCTAGGGGAGATGTTGATCAGAAAATGATTACAGTACATGTTTAACGCTTATTTCTAGATCCATCCCAAAGAAAAGAGTATCACACCAGTGTGAGTTGAGCCACAGACCACTTGAGATAATCTTAGATTGCCATGATGGCTATGGGATCTAGAGTCAGCATGCTACAGCTATTACCAGTGTGCATATTGAAAGCATAGATATTGAAATCACCGAGACCAGAGAGTCTTAGTGACTCCAATAACAAGTCCAATAACAGGAATGCAGGCGCAGGTGATGGGGTGGGAAAAGGGCTGTATTCAGTCTAATTTATTTTATCCCAGGATTCATATGCAAGGTGAGTGCAGTTGAATCTTTCTTTGAGTTTGCACATCTCCTGCAGCTGAAGTTGTATGCAAAAACCAAGGCTGTGCTTAGCCCAAATCCTCCATGTCTCATCAGCAGATTGTCTAGGGATGTTGTGGAAGCTCCTTCACTGGAGCTTTTCAAAAGAAGGCTGGCTAACCATCTGTCTTGATGGTTAGACACAACAAATTCTGCATCTTGGCAGAGGAGTAGATTAGATGACCCTTGGTCCCTTCTAACCCTATGATTCTGGATCAGGTAATCTGAGCCAAAACCAGGCCAGCTGAGTCATCCAATCAGTTCTTCACAATAAGTATACAATCAAGCTGTTGAGGGCCTGAATCTGTGCTACATAGGGATGTAAAAGGTTAACCAGTAAGCATTAGGTTTACTGTTAACCAACCTTAACCATTAATCCTCTGCTTGCCAGCCAGAGCAGCCCCAGCCCTGGTGGCCCTGCACTCGGAGGGAACCCAGCCCCGGCTGCCTCAGTTAAACAATATAATTTTAACTGTTTAACTGGTTAACTTTTTAAACAATATTTACATCCCTAGTGCTACATAACCTGGAAGATTAAAAGAGAAAATAGTGCTCCTGAGATGGCCTGAGAATGCTAGTACATGCTTTTGGAGCCCCAGTTATATAGGAAAATTGCAACACCTGCTAACATCCCTAATCAGCCCTATCTGATGCAGATGTTTGTATTTTCTCCAGAACATTTAAATGACCACATAGTGATACGTGTACGCTTTGATTTCTTTTCTTTTCTTTTTACATTTTATTATAAAGATTGATTAGAGGGAAAAATGTAGATAAACTGGTTGGTGGAAAGGTGAAAAACAATAGCAAAAGGACCACCTATTATAAGAAACAGGCACAGGTTCTATTGCAAAAATCACAGCTGTCCACTCTGTTCAGAGAAAGAGCTAACTTGGGCTTTTTCCAACTGCTTGCCACTATGCGCTCTGTTTAAATATGCATCTGTCTTAGAGTACGTTGTCATTAAAGAGCTGCTGATGCCTCATGTACAACTTTAAAATGCCTATTTAGAAACAGTTCTGCTTATCTAACCTATATTTATCATATTTCCCTTTCCTTGTTGTTTTGTTATTACTAGCAACATTTGCATTTAAACAAATCTTTGTTTAAGAGTCATGAGCAGATGAATAATGTCCATAATTCATCTATCTGAAGTTCCATTTCTGTGTGTGACATCACAGTCAGATGTGGTGGAAATGACTGGTATAAAAATGGAAGATAAGTATTTCAAGTGTAGAAAGAAACAGCAGAAGCAGCTAAATTCTTGAAAAAGCAAAGATTTTATTTTCATGCAGATGTCCTTAATAATAAATAATTAAAAGATACTAAAAATAAGTAAAATTGTTTCTAAGTAGAATGTTCTGTACATTTTCCATTAGGCATTAGTGAGATTTTAAACCCCATTAAGTGTTTGAAAACAATACTGGCAAGGATATTGCAGTAAATACAAGTATATTGAAAATAAAATAGTTGAAATGGGCCTAAAATAGGTTGATGGTTCAGATTAACAAATGAGACCATTTTGCTTTTGAATCACCCATCTGATTCAGTCATCAACACTTATTTACTACCTTTTCTTGTAAATTGGTATCTTTTTCTTTTGATCAAGGTTCAGTACACAAGTACATAAAGGGGATGTCTGGTCTCCTGGGGACAGTCACTGTTGAGGCTCTTTTCATTGAAATGTTTTGTATTTATCTCCAGCAGACAGTCTTCCAAGCAGAAGAGGGCTATTCAGACTGCTATTCGTAAAAACAAAGAAGCCAATGCGGTGCTAGCCAGGTTGAATAGCGAACTCCAGCAGCAACTGAAGGTAAGGAACGCCTTGAATATCACAGTTACAAGGCTTGATGCAATCGGTTGTTTTTCACCACTGGCGAAGGATCTAGTTCCTCTTTATAGATGAAACCTACTGCTTTGTTTCCAGACTCTCTCTTGAAAGAGTGGCTACGTTGTACCTTTAGGGTGAGTGGCCTATATAAGAAAATGTGAAACCTAAATGCAAAGGGCTGTGGTGTCGATTGAATTGAGTTTAAATGATGATTCTTGTGTTTTGAATGCTTCTAGAGCATTTAATGCTGTCTCCTCAGGCATGAGAGGAACTCAGACATAGCTTTCTTTGTCCTGATCAGTTATTTAACTTCTTACGTTCAGACATTCAGTATACAAAGTATTGGCTGAACTGTTGCCTTAGATGAGCCTCTAAGAGTGATTGTAAAACACTATCCATTAGCTTGTATTTGAGAACTTTTTGGAGCATTTAAATTGGTAAGTTCCTGATCAAAATAAATTCTTTTCTTTTTAATTGTCCAATCATGAAGTCAATATATTCCTAAATTTTTCTTCTGCTGAAGCTTCATGTCACTTACATAGACTATCATACTTCTACGTAAGAAGGTCTGAACATACTGGGAATCCTTTCAGAGACCATCAACACTGGTTGCCAATCAGTCAGAGGAGACTACTGTTGCTCTTCCCTCGCGGGTTGAAAGTGCCACCTTCTGCAGCACTTCCAGCTCTTTACTGGTCTGGAAATGTGAGACCAGGACCAGAATCTGAACCCTGATGTCCTACCTAATAGCACAGTGGGCTGCCCCTGAGTTGGCCTGCCTGACCTTCTTTCCTCCTTTAGCATTCCTCTGCATCTCTGTCAGAGTCCTGAGAAATCCCCATGCTATATTTTTCCTAGCTTCACATCCCACCCCACTCACTCAACATCCGGTGTTACAACCACCTTCCTTGGATCCGGACTGACGTATGATTCCACATAGGAACTTATCATTACCACTATCCCTGAATTGTCTAGAAAGAGCTCTCAGGAACAGTGCAAGGCAGACTCTCCCTGCCAGGGCTGAGCATGCGGCCTTTAATAGCAAGGTAAAAAGGCAGTATGGCCCAGTGGACTGACCTTGGGGAAGGATGTCACACTTGTAAGTTTTAATAGCAAACACTCTGTCACCATTACCTTTTTGTAGTCTCTCTCTCTCTCTGGTATTTATATGCCTTCCATTTTCACACCTGAGCACCTTACAATCTTTAATGTAGACTCCAGTGAGGTCAGGCCGTGCTATTATCCCCAGTTCACAGGCAGGGAACAGAGAGAGACAGTGGCAGGCCAGGGTCACACACAAAGTCTGTTTTGGAGCAGGGAATTGAACCCGGTGTCTCAAGTCTGTGCACTCACCACTGGGCCATCCTTCCTCTCATCGGCCAGGTTGGGCAAGTCCCTGGCCTCTCTGTGCTTGTTTCCCCATCTGTAAAAAGGGAATAATTCAACTTATCTCAGTAGGTTGTTGTGAGGGTTAATTACCTAACGTTTGTATGGTGCCTTGAAACTATAAAGTGTGATGTAAGTGGTACGAACTTGAGATCTGTAAATGCCAGCTGTTACTAGACTACTCTTTAATAATGCAGCTTTGTATGTGTGGGTACCAGAAAAGTTATAGCATTTCTTTTTTCTCTGTGCTCCAGGAAGTTCACAAAGAGCGAATTGCATTGGAGACTCAGTTGGAACAGCTTCGTCCTGTAACTGTCTTGTGACCTTCAGTACATTATTCAGTGGCAATAAATGGACATTTGTGCCAAGACTTTTTGACTCGGTTAGCACAACAATGTAAAATCTATGTAAAGTTTTCACTGAGGCAATGGCACTGGGAAAGTGGAATGTGAGTTGGGGTGGTTGTTTTTTTGCACACCACTGTCCACATTTTCTCTTGCGGATGAAGAGGGTAGATGAGATAAATGTCAAACCATAGGTTACGTCTAAGAAATGAAAGTTGTTTCCTACTTGTCCTTCAGGATATTACAAAATGCAGTTAACCACCAAAATCAGCCATATAACTCTGAAATTATTAGTGGTTTATTTATTTAAAGAATTCCTGATATATGTACTTTCTTGAAAGCCAATTATTAAAAGTTACATGCATTCAAAATTCTTCTTTATATTTAAAGTTTCTATTCTAAGGTGGTTTCTTCTACGTTTCTGATTTCACATAGGTTTATACTGGGGGTAGTGTCTGTGGTTTTAAAACACAAAAGAGAATAAAAATAATTGTACAGATAGTCTATATTCACAATCACGTCACTTCATTGTCTTTTTAGTGCCATTTATGATTATTGGTCATTTATGTCTTATAAATATTGCAGGGTTTGTGTTTTATAAGTTAAATCATGTGAAAATGGAGTTCTGAGAACTAAAAAGTGTTGAAACGTGCTGATTTTTAGAAACTTTTTTTTAAAGCTATACCCCACAGGGAAAGTTAGAAATGGGCATGTTTCTCTGTATGTACTTAATGTGTGCTTGTTAAAACAACAGCATTGTAATTTTACCAATGGAAGTTAAAATGAAGCATATATTGTGCTTGTCTTTGGAGACATGGGTTTTATTTCATGTTTGTGTGCATTGGTCAGCATTCCTGTTAAACTAGCTATTGCGTTTTTTAAAGGACCTGAACTCGATGTTTGATTCCAAATGAAATAAATGTATGTATATGCTCTAGGTAGGATTTTTAATGACTATGGTGTGAAGAAATGAATCCTGCATGGGGTTGTCCGTTGAGTGGCCTTAATATCGCACAGGAGATGCTCCTTACAGAATGAGGCTCCCAGGACCTTTCCCTTCTCTAAAGGGAGAGTCAAAGGCTATAGTACTCTATCTGGGTCTGATCTAGGGCCAGTTGAAGTCAATGGGCATTGGATTAAGTCTTCTTTGTAATGAACCTTTTAGTTTTTGGGCCAATCCTCATATAACAGGTAGTTTTAGAAGTAATGAAATCAGCCTGTCCCCTTTGACATATGCCGCATTGATGAAAACATAGCATGCATGCTGTCCTCTTTCTTTCCTTCCCCCCTCGCAGCCCCACATGAGATGCATTGTATAGTCCATTGTTCAGTGATGTAAACTAAGCGTCTGCATTAAGTTTGCAAAAGCTCTGCATACATTTTCTTCTATTATTTTTGATGTTTTATCCATCTTGTTTTGGAATGCTCCCCAAGGGTGGATTAGAAATAACTAGCCAGTCTCCTGTCAGGATACAGTGCAAAATGGATAAATGTGAAAAAGCTGCAGCGGAATAGCAGAGTAGCCAGAAGTTTTATTGAGATGTAAAACAAGAATGACATATATGTAAATGTTTAAAGTTGACATGGTGACTGCACAGACTCCCTTGGCTGAAGTTTATATGGATTCAGAGTTTATAAAACATTACTCCAGTGTTGGGAGGGCAGTCCTCACATTTGTAAAACTGTATTAACTGAAAGTTTGTTTGGTAATACGTCACTCCTTAGCTAGCTAACCACTGTTTGTGTCTATGACAACGAACTGAATTTTTGGTTTTCTGACTTCTTTCTGTGTTAATGCTCTGCAGTTGGAATCAGAGAAATGACCATGGCTTGTGACTAAATGAAGTTAGAATCACAGCTTCTCCTAGTGAGCTGCAGAAGAAATCTGCCATCATCTTCCCTATTAGTGACAATGTTCAGAACTTACACCAGTCGTTCTTAGAGAGATAAGGCGGATGAGGTAATATCCTTTATTGGACCTACTTCTGTTGGTGAGAGGACAAGTTTTGTAGCTCAAAAGTTTGTCTCTGTCACCAGCGGAAGTTGTTCCAATAAAAGACATTACCTCATCCACCTTGTCTCTCTAATATCCTGGGACCAACACTGCATACACGAGTCATTCTTTTCATTTATAAAATTGAATTGTTAGATTTGAGTGAGTTTAATTTTTTTTAATTCTTGTTTTGTCGTTTTATTAAGTAACAAAATGACAATTTTAAAGGACAGAGTTGGGTGGCACTTTCCATATTTGTGATCCAGAATGTTTGGAAGAAGCTTTTCAATTCTTAAGAAATGTACAAATGTTTTATTAAGCTCTTTGGGTGAGTAAGGGTGGAGGAAAGTAGTCCATAGGGCTTTTTCAAAGATCTGTCATGCAAAGTACTATTATAATTATTTCTTATACTATGAATCAGGATACCTGGATGACCATCAATGGAACATGTTACTTGGGCTTGGTCTACACTAGCAACTTATGTTGATATAATTATGTCGCTCAGGGGTATGGAAAGTCCACTACCCTGAGCAAGGCAGTTATTCTGACCTAACTCCTGGTGTAGACAACCTTATGTTGATGGGAGGGCTTCTCCTGTCAGCATAGCTGCCACCTTCTGGGGAGGTGGCGTACCTACGCTGATGGGAGAAGGCCTCCTGTCAGGATAGGTAGTGTCTTCACTGAAGTGCTACAGCAGCACAGCTGCATCGGTGTAGCTGTGCCTCTGCAGCCTTTTAAGTGTAGACAGGCCCTTAGTCATCCTGAATCATAGGGGTTAAGACATAAAAGGGTTTATACCATTTCTGATGCTGAGCTTTTAGAGGTGCATTCCAATGTTCTACTGAGCTCAAGGGGCCATCCTAATTCAGACATTTTATGTGTAGTTTATTATATTATTGATGATGGTATACCACTTTACACAGTGTGGAAAGCAAAATAGCAAGGGAAGAGTTAAGACATGTTTTATCTCTGAAGCACAAAGTCAGGAAGTAAGTTACCTGGAGTATCTTCCTAGTACTTCAACAGTTCTCATAGCCTACAGAAGATGTAAAATCTGCTCCTGCTGTTATTTGGTTAAAAAAAAAATTGTAATGGGAGTTACAGGTGCTCAGCCCCTTTGAAAATCAGGCCATTTATTTAGGTGCATATGGCTAACATTTTCAGAAGTGCCTGAGTGCCATTTTCAAAAGTAACCTAGGCCTTTAGAAGCATAAGTCCCATTAACTTTCAATGAGACATAAGGAAAAAATGTCAAAAGTGCTTAAGTGACTTAGGACTTTCAATGAGACATAGGCTCCCGAGCTCCTAAATCACTTTTGAAAATGTGATTTTGGCTCCTATGTCACATAGGCAATTTCAAAATTGTAGACTTAGGCTAAACTTTTCAAACATGGGTGCCTAAAATTAAGCATTTGTAATGGCCTGATTTTCAGAAGTGCTGAACATCCATAAATCCCATTGAAGTCAATGGGAACGAAGTGCTAAGAACTGTTTGAAAATCAGGCCATTTTATTTCCATTCTAAATGTATATAATGGCTCAACATCAGACACTATGAACAAGTTGTGGGGACCTGTTTAAAGATAGAACAGTCAAACTAGACAATCACGGAACATTGTTTAAAGATATTAAATATTAAAGATTACTGTTCTGGTTATTAAACTAGTATTAGGACACCATGGACATTTATATAATATCTTTTATTATGGCTCCCATATTGCTGGATTAAAAAATATCAATCATTAGCAAGTTCAGCCCTATTAGGTTCAGAAATGTCAGTTTTAACTTGAAACGTTATTTCCAAGTACAGTTTTATAGGATGGGAGATGGTCACTTCAGCGAGAGGAACTTTTTCAGCTTTCTTCTAAATATTTCAAGCTTCATATTGTACTCAGGGTCTCAGAGCATATCTTGTCATTTCACATACTGCGCTTGCACATGCAAGCAGGTTAGACAATTTTATTTAGGTGGTGGCCTGGCCTGGTCTGGCCTAAAATTAGAAATAATCTTGAGAAAGCAATGAGGGAGGTTAGCGACTGAGTTTTCCATATCTCAAACCTTACTTCATACCTACCCAGACTTGGAGGACAACTATTTGCATTACTGAACTACCATGTGGGGTGGTTGTGATTTGGAACTCTTCACAAGAAGCTTTAGGATAAGCTTAATATGGCAATTATCTCTCCCTGTTTTAGAAGCTGCTTCTGCCAAGTTTAAATCCCATTTCATGACAAAGAGAGTTTGTGAAAGCTTCCAGTCTGAAAGGGAGGAGCTTCACTTCTCCAGCACTGCCAGTCCTTTAGCCTTCAGCACATAAACACCTTAACTGACAAGAAGTAGTTGTTGTTCTAAAAGTCAGGATGGGAAAGAGGGATAATAAACCCACATATTTTAGCAACTAGAGTGAAAAATTATTTTTTCAAGACATGACTATCCCAAATGAGAAGAAATATATATTTTGAAGCTTTTCTTTATTCAATTATCTTCATGAAACTATGTATTACATCTTTGTCTGCTATTGATCATTTGATATAAAATTGGTATTGGTAACCTTATTGTTAATCTAAAATTTAAAAAAAAAGTTCCCCTCAGGTTACTATATATTTGTATATTTACTTATACAGTGTAGTTGATAACCATATTCCAGAAGACTTGTTTTCACAGCTACAGAAATGTTAGTGTGGTAGATTGCAAGATATATAACATTCTACACTATGCACATCCAATTTTGGAAAATGTATATGGTATGAAACTGGGTGCTATGTTAAAATAAAAAGCTACAATAGTTTCAGATTGTCTTGCTACTTGTGTTTTGTTGAGGATGTCATTTGTACAGATGGTATGAAAAGAGAAACTTTTGGCATGGAAAGATGGTGTGTTGAAATGGCTGATGTTTGAGTATTTAATTTGCAAACACATACTCCAAGCAGCATGTGTATGTGTGAGAGACAGAGTATAACAGGGTCCCTGCAGGGCCCTCCTGGCTCCTGCTGCCCGCTGGGCTGAGAAAGTCACACAGAGACCTTGAAGCAGTGCTCACCTGGTTCTTTTATTTACAGGTTGTGTTCCCACCACCTTTCCACCATACACATAGTCCCCTTCTTACAGTCCACCAGCAGGAGAGAAGGGACAATCTATCTCTCTCTGCTTCTGCTCACTGCCTTTCCTCTAGTGTAGCTTACAGCCTGTCCAGCTCCTGCCCGGCTCCAGCCCCAGCCTGATGAGACAGCAGCTGTTCCAGCTTTCCCAATCAGGGCCAGGTAATCTACCCAGCTCCAATTCACCTCCCTTAATTGGAGCTGGAGTGACAGAGGGTTGGCTAAGCAGTTTTCTGCTTAGCACCCTGTCACAGAGAGATACTATTAAAAAGTTTAGAGTGAAATCCTGGTGCTGTTGACCGCAGTGGAGACAGGACCTCACCCTTACTTTGCAAAAGTTCATCTTGCCACAAAGTAAACTAAATGAAACCAGTTTTAACTTTTAAGAATGTGAATAGTATAAACACCAGTAAGGAAGAATAATTGTATTAAGGTGGTCTTGAGGGTGCATAAGCAGGAGTAATGGGATGAAATGATAAGCCAATAAGTAAATTAACCACAGTGTTTTCTCTCATTCAACCTAGCGGTGAATTCTCCTATAAGACTGTAAGAAAGTGCTGGGTGCCCCATCACTTGAGACAATAAAAATCAGACTGGACAAATCACTATCCAATATGTATTTGAAGAACAGTCTTTCATTGGCAGAGAGAGAGATTAGATGGACTAATGGATTATTTCCATATCTTGGCTACTGTGATTTGTATTGCTTAACTTCACTGCTATCCAAAGAATGGGGTTTAAAAAGAAGAAATAATTAGTGATGAGTTGCAAATAAATTCTTACAGCATTAAGGAGTGACAAGGGATGCTTTATTAGCCCACAAATATGTCTCTGGTGTGTGTGAGGAATAAAGCCAAGGCACTAAGAACTTGTGAATATACTGTAGGGAGCAATTATGCATTGACAACAGGATGGATTTAGATGATTCTTCCATTCATTAATTTTTATGCTTCTATGATATTCTGGGGAGCCTTAATGTGATTCTAGTTTGGCTCCCCAAATTTAAATTAATGTTTTTAACATACTTGTAAAAGAAAAAGGGGGAAAAAACATATCCTTCCACTATGGAAAATATTTATTAGTGAAAGAATGAGGGGGAAGAGGGGGAAAAAGCTGAAGACCCTTTTTTCTTCAACTTATCAGGTTGAAAATAATTCCATTTTAAGTGCTCCTTGCTTGTAAATCTTCATCCATGTCCTCCCTTTCTTGTCTGTCCACTGTGTCCTCTTTAGGCTTGACCAGCTTTTTCTTTCTGAAGGTTCTGAGCTTCAGCTGGGTCTCTTAGTATGCAAGGGGAGAGAAACGAAATAGCTTAATTTCCCTGAACAGGAGAAAAAGTCAGTTGGACCTATGCCTGCTCAGGGAACAGTCAGACCACAATAAGGGTGTAAATCTGCACCCATACAGCCACAGTCCCAATCCAAAATAAAATCTAGGGTCTGACACGTAGACGGCTTGAGTCAGAAACCACATGGGATAATTTCATAGTTTTACTGGTGGCTATATAATAGTATGGACTATGCATATTTAGCTTGTAAATGTGGAAGTCAACCAGTTGCTAACTTACATAAGAACATGAGGTTAGTCAGAGGATAGCCCTGTGCTCCAGAGAGATGATATCTTAGACAATATCAATAGGACTCATTTTAAATGCCACATACTGCACCTGGTCTATTTGGGGGTGAAGGAGAGGTCTACCTAACCTCCCCATACCCACTGCAAAGATAGTAGGACCCAGGCCTTCGCCAACAATTTCCCCTTTCGGTACTCCATATCCTCAGTTCATAGCAACATTTCTCAGCCCTCTAAACCATTATTCTGCGGCTATCACAGAGGGTTCAGCTGCTGTAGTTGGAAATATGCAGACAGGAACCACCAGGGCAAGGTGCAAAAGCCATTTACTGTATACAAACCAGGCCCACAAGACAGACAAAATTCTAAAATAAACTGGGACATTGACTTGCAAATGCTACCCAGACACTCACTCCCAGTCCCAACCATACAAACAGGCATAACAAAATGGCAAAAATGTGTATGACCATTTGGCAGTGGAGTACAAGATGGAGTGTGTGTTAATGTTCCTCAGGGTCGTGGAGGAAAAGAAGGGGCAATTTATCACGTCTGTCCATACTGACAGCACCTAGAGAGAAGGCAGAAAAGAAACACTGATGAGATGAAGTACTCACGCGTCTTAGGCAGCAGGGAATCTTTTCTATCCTTGCCATCTTGTTTCACCCTCCCCCACAGAAAAGGGCTTTTTAAAAAGCTTGCTGGTACAGCTTTGTAAGAAGGTTTAGATGCAAGACTGCCACTTGATATCCAAATTATTTTGTTCCCAGGTCAATTAAACAATCAAGCAGTTCATTCTGTTTGTCTCAGATTTAGGGTATGTTAAGCTAGTCATACCTGCATTCATCAGGCAGGCACAGGGCTTGCATTGTTCACTACAAATTCCACATTCTTATCTTAGAAGGGGAAAAAAACACTAATGGATGACCTCACCTGTGTCTTAGTTCACAAATCACCATTTTTCCTAAAGGATCTAAATTCTGAACTTGAACCAAGGTCTTCCAGTAATATTAATGGATTTTGAGAGCAGAACTTCTTTCATTTGCATGGGTCTCAAAGGCATACTTTTTCAAAAGTCATTAGTGATTGTGGGTGCCCAACGTGAGACACTCTTCACCCACCTGAAAATCAAGCCCTTTTAAAGGTGTCTCAAACTGGGCACTAGAAACAGAGGCAGCCAAATTCACTAGTTACTCTTGAAAATGTAGGCCAAAACGTTTCATAATATGTGTAGTGAAAATGGCCCCTCTTGGCAACGTTCTATTTCTAGCATTTAGCGGCATACCAGCTGGCAAATAACTTGCCAACATGAGCTCTTGTGCTCATTACTCTCCAAACTAGTGGAAGAACTCATATATTTCAAAAGCTGCTTCCTTAGGACTGTGTGTCAGTTAACTACAAGGGGTACCAAACCAGAAAACTAGCTCTATGCATCTGAGAATATAGGGAAGGCTTCGATCTGGGGCTGAACTTCATACCTCAGACCCTTAGCTACTAATTAACTGATTAATTTGATATACTAACATTGATATTTAAACACGCTGCAAAAGGTGCTACCATTATACAAATATTTACTTTTACCATCTTTTTAACAGCTGCTACTTTCAGGGTACATCTACAGTATGACATTATTTCTAAATCTATTCGAATTTTTGGAAGCTACATTCGGTTTTCTCTGTCCCCCACTAAAGTGCGTGAATTCAGCAGATTGCATCCACAGTACCAAGGCTAGCATCGAATGTTGGAGCGGTGCACTGTCCCAGAGTTCCCGCAGTCCCTGCCACCCACTGGAATTCTGGGTTAAGCTCCCAGTGCATGATGGGGCAAAAACATTCTCACCGGTGTTTCTGGGTGTGTGTCGTCAGAAAGCTACGGCAGACAATCGTTTCGCACCTTCTTGGTGTGCAGATGCCATACTACTTTCAGCAGACGGTGCACCGCTGCTCTCCTGCTACTATGAATCCACCTCTCCAACTCAACTCTGCTCGGCCATCATGAACCGAGCAGCACAGCTTCCACTGCCAACTCTGCTCTTCCGCTGCTTCCAAGCTTCTCCATGTTGTCTGTCCTGGGCTCCCACCTCCGTGAAAGCCACAGAAGACAACCATTTTCCGCCATTGTTCAGCTACCGTGAACCAAACAGCACAGCTTCTGCTGCCACTCTGCTCTCCTACATTTTATGCCCTTTATCCAAGATTCCCCGTGCAGGTGCCATAGCCATGGAGCCCGATCAGATCTCCCCTGCAGTTTTGACCATTGTAAATACCTCGCGCATTATCCAGCAGTATGTGCGGTACCTGCAAAACTGGGTGAGGAAGCGACGACAGCGCGATTACTATAGTGATGAGGACACGGACACAGACGGCACGGCAAGTGGCGATTGGGAGATCATGGTGCTGTTGGGCCAGGTTCATGCTGTGGAACGCCAATTCTGGGCCCGGGAAACAAGCACAGACTGGTGGGACCGCATAGTGTTGCGGGTATGGGATGATTCCCAGTGGCTGAAAAACTTTTGTACGTGTAGGGCCACTTTCATGGAACTTTGTGACTTGCTGTCCCCTGCCCTGAAGCACAAAGACACCAAAATGAGAGCAGCCCTCACAGTTGAGAAGCGAGTGGCCATAGCTCTGTGGAAGCTTGCAACGCCCAACAGCTACCTGTCAGTCGGGAATCAGTTTGGAGTGGGGAAATCTACTGTGGGGGCTGCTGTGCTGCAAGTAGCCAAAGCAAACATTGACCAGCTGCTATCAAGGGTAGTGACTTTGGGAAATGTGCAGACCTTTGTGGATGGCTTTAATGCACTGGGGTTCCCTAACTGTGGCAGGGTGATAGACGGAACGCTTATCCCTATCTTGGCCCCGGAACACCGGGGCGTCCAGTACATATACCGCAAGGGGTACTTTTCCATGGTGCTGCAAGCACTGGTGGATCACAAGGGACGTTTCACCGACATCAGTGTGGGATGGCTGGGAAAGGTGCATGACGCTTGCATCTTCAGGAACTCTGGTCTGTTTGAACAGCTGCAGGAAGGAACTTACTTCCCAGACCAGAAAATTACTGTTGGGGATGTTGAAATGCCTGTAGTTATCCCCAGGGACCCAGGCTACCCCATAATGCCCTGGCT